CCACAGGCGCCCGCCACAACGCCCGGCTATTTTTTGGTTGCAGCCATCATTGTTGTTTGGCGGGTCCGGGCTGGGGATTCGAACCCGCCGCCTTAGGTGTACGTGGCTGGCGCCTTAGCCAGTTGAGCTATAGGCGCCGAGCCGGTATCTTTTCTTTATAACAGGAGAAGCTTTAATGTTCCCATGTGCTGGTGAGAGTGTGGGCTCAGCTCCCTACTAGTTGCCTAGCAAGGGCTGCAAATGCTATAAAATGTAACTTCACAGCATTAAGTGGGGAGAATCATTCCAGCACGAACTAGAATCAGTGGGACCACCAAGACAGTTGTCCCTGCCCTGAAATGGGGCCCTCAGGGAGGGAGGGGCTTGGGGGCAATAGGGTCAGGGAATGACCACCCTTCTCCCCTACACAGGAGCTACACTGCTGCTCCAAGGGCTGTGCACTAACACCGTGGTGCAACTTCTGGACCTAAAGGTGAGCATGTCTGTGCTCTGGGGTGTGCCACCCAAGAGCAAAGACAGAGCAGGGAAACACCAGGGCCCAAGGACTAGGTCTGGACAGCAGCTGGAAACCACAAGGCTCTTGGCACATGGGGTCCCTGAGCTATTTTTTGATTATGTCACACATATGTGCATGTTTTCAGGGGAGAGTATTCACCTAAACTGAGTAACCCCAGGAAGCCCGCTAAAATTTGGGGAACCAGGATCTCCCCCACCCCCACTTTGTCCACAGCCTGGCTATGGCCCTGTGTGGTGTGGAGCCCAGTCAGGGTGACAAGAGTGAATGGCTGACCTGTTCCTGTCCAGGGCAATAACCTTCGAGCTGCAGGGGCTGAGGCACTGGGAAAACTCCTCCGACAGAACAAGTCCATTCGGAGGTAGGACGGTAGTTTTGGCCTCCAACTTCACCCGTAGCTCCCAAGAAGACACAATCCAAGAGTTTACTCCTTGGGCCAGTTGTCTGCAATTCATGTCCTCTGGCAGGGAGCAAGCCAGTATAAATTACAAATCTCCAGCCTCTACCAGAGACCCGCCCCCCCACCAAGCCCACAATCCTCCTGATGCCCTGGATCCCATGGGACAGGGTGGGCACCCTGGGTGAGCATCTCATGTCTGCTCTTCCTGCAGCCTCACTCTGGAGTGGAACAGCTTGGGTGCGTGGGAGGACGCCTTTGCCACGTTCTGCGGAGGTCTGGCAGCCAATAGCACCCTGTGGCACCTGGATCTCCGCAACAACCAGATCAGCCACAAAGGTGCAGAGGACCTGGCCCTGGCCCTGAAGAACAACACTACCCTCCAGCAGCTGGGTGAGGCCACCTCCTGTGCCTGCTTTCCCAGGGGAACCTCAGGGCATCTGGGGCTGCACCCCATGCCCTCTACTGCCCTCTGCAGCTTCTGACCTCAGAGCAGAAGGGTGGGCAGTGGGGTCAGCCCACACACTGGCTCTGCTAACAGCCACAGGAAGTATGCTCCAGAGAAAAATCTGGGCTGGGCCAGCTTCCCCTCTACCAGGTGCACTCTGGTGACAACAGGTTTCCTTCCAGACCTGCGCTGGAATAACATTGGCCTGCTGGGGGGCCGGGCCCTGGTGAACTGTCTCCCCAGCAACAAAACCCTGTGGAGATTGGACCTGGCTGGGAACAACATCCCTGGAGATGTCCTCAGGGCTGTGGGTAAGGTGTGCTGATTGGGCATAAGCCCCTTGATAGAGCCTGTCCACAGAGGGAGGAGAGGGTTCTGAACCTGGGAGGGAAGCTCATTGTGAAAGCAGCCTAAGTTAGGAACTGGAGGGAGGAGGGAGGAAGTTGCAGAAGGCAGCATACACACTTGGCTGGCACTCCCCACACACAGGCCCCTCCTGAGGTCCTCCTGTGTCCTTACAGCCTATGGAGTGAGGTTTCACAGGTGGTGAAGCTGAGGCCCTGTGTCTCAAAGCCCTTGTCCAGTGGCTGTGCTGATGCTTTAGGTAGTCCAGGTCACAGCCAGGAAGGGCTGGCATTTGCTCTTGGATAGCCCTGAGTTTGCTGCCGTGCATGGGATCCCTGTGGGAGCAAGATGCCCAACCTGTGCTGCTCCCAGATGGAGCACCAACTTCCATGTCCCCTCTCCCTAGTGACTCAGGAGGCTGTATAGAGTCTCTATACCGGACCCTAACCCTAGCCTCACACCTTGATCCCCAAGTGCCTTGGACCAGCAGAGCTCTGCCATGCTCTAGAGCTTCACTTTGTGCAGCAGCAGCCTCCCCATCCCCGTGCCATGGGCTCACCACCTCCTACCAGCTCTACTGGCCCCTCTGTTGTCTCCAGCTTCTCACTGTTCCCTTCTCTGCCTCTATACTGCCCTTGCTGTCACCATTGCTTCTGACCAGCAGGGCTGTCTCTGGCACCTCTCCACATGCCACTTGGATCTTTCCAGAACACAGGGGTTGAGCACAACTCTCTTTTAAGTCAGGCAGTGCCCCTTGACCTTTGGGAGGGAGGCCACATGCCCCAGGATAGCCCCCACCTCTGTGGCAGTGGAGCAGTCTCTCCTGCCTTTCCCTACATGCACATGCCCAGCCAGGTACCCCCTGCTCCAGCGGCCCCACCCCACTAAAGCAATCCACCAAGTACGCTGAGGAACGTGTCCAATTTGGTGGACAAGATGCTGCCTTCAGCACTCATCCCCAGCTACTAGCTTCCAGTCGTTGGGCACAGATAGCCTGGTCACTGCAGGGGCTGAGCAGCCCCCAGTAGATAACACAGCTCCTCCCAACAGAGCAAGCTATGGACCACAACCAGGACCGGCACACCACCTTCCAAGAGAACCAGGCCCGCACCCATGTCCTTAGTAAGGAGGTCCAGCACCTCCGGGAAGAGAAGTCCAAGCAGGTGAAGCTGGCATCTTCACTGACCTCGGGTTGCGACCAGCCAGGGTCTGGCTGTCTTTTCCCCACCCCCTGGCCCTTGGTGCACCCATCTTTCCTTTCTCTGGGCCTCTCCCAGCAACCAGTACCCAAGAACCTGACCTCCGTGGGTGGGCTTCCCCCAAGAGCTGGCTCTGAACCACCAGGCCTCCCTCTGAATAAGACAGTGAGGCTATGTTGGTGAGCAGATGTCTGTCCTCCTTCCCCCTAAGGAAGTGGGATGGCTAGGCTCTATGCTGACCAGGCTCTGTCCGGCTGTGTCCCCAGTTCCTGGATTTGATGGAGACAATCGATAAGCAGAGAGAAGAGATGGCACAGAGCAGCAGGTGCGCGTGCTCCAGGCTGGAGGAGGCAGGCTGCGGTTCAGCTAGGCAGCTCCACTTCAGGTCCAGGCACCAGCTCATGGGTGCAGCTACAGCCTGTGCCTCTTGAGGAAGTGACTGGAGGGTCAATGGCAGGGGGAGTGCCATAGAGGCTTAGAGGGGCCTGGGAGGGACCTGGGATTTGAGTTTCCCAGGAACCCCCTCTCTGCCCATAGGGCATCGGCAGCACGTGTGGGACAGCTTCAGGAAGCCCTAAAAGAGAGGCACTCTATCATCAATGCCCTCAAGGCCAAGTAAGTAGGAGAGGGCTGGCTTCAGGATGATTTAGAGATATATCCAAAGGGCAGAGGAGGGCGGTGTGAAAACCTGAGTCCTGGTCTCCAAAGCAGAGGTGGGAAATGGGGTGGAACTGGGGCAGTAACCCAGGCAGAATTCCTGGAGGAGGAGAGTGCTAGCTGGGTTTGAGTAGGGCCCAGCCACAGTGAAAACAGTGAAGTCTGGCTAGGCACCTGTGGCTCAAGTGGCTAAGGTGCCAGCCACATACACCTGAGCTGGTGGGTTCAAATCCAGCCCATGCCCACCAAACAATAATGACAGCTACAACCAAAAAATAGCCAGGTGTTATGGCAGGCGTCTATAGTCCCAGCTACTTGGGAGGTAGAGGCAGGAAGATTGCTTGAGCCCAGGAGTTGGAAGATGCTGTGAGCTGTGATGTCACGGTACTCTACCCAGGGGGACAGCTTGAGGCTCTGCCTAAAAACAAAAAAGCAAAAAACAGTGAAGTCTTTATAAGGCATGTGAAGCTCCCACCAGAGCAGGGCGGGGCTGGCCCTTCCTCTTTGCAGGCTACAGATGACCGAGGCTGCCCTGGCTCTGTCAGAGCAGAAGGTCCAGGACCTGGGGGAGCTCCTGGCCACAGCTGAGCAGGAGCAGCTGAGCCAGTCACAGAGGCAGGCCAAGGAACGCAGGCTTGAGCAGCAGGTGGGTGGCAGAGCTTGATCAGGTGCAGGCCAGGCTGTATATGGCAACATGGTAACCCTTGCCCTGTCACCCCAGGAAGCCACTGAGAGGGAATCTAAGCTTCTTAAAGACTTGTCTGCTGCCAATGAAAAGAACCTGCTTCTGCGTAACCAGGTATGGAAGTGTGGGGCCGGGTGCCCCAGGAGCCCAGGGTAGGGGTGCAGTGTCCCTCCATGGTGCTGGCTTTTCAGGTAGACGAGTTGGAACGGAAGGTCAAATCTCAGCAGGAGCAACTATTCCTGACCAGGCAGGAGCTGACCAACACATCGGCTGAGTTGAAGATTCGGGCTGTCCAGGCCGAGGGTAGGCATGGCAAGGCTGCCACTGAGGGTCCTAGGCTATGGGAGCCCTAGGGATGGGGCCCCCCCCAGGATACTCACCCACATTGTGCCCCAATGGCATTCCAGAGCGCCTGGACATGGAAAAGAGAAGGTCCAAACAGAGCTTGGAGGACTCAGAAAACCTGCGCTTCAAGGAGGTGCCTTCTTAGTTGTCACCCACCTTCTGGCTGTCCCTGGCTAACTGCTGCCTGCAAACTGGCCTTGGTGTGATATGGGTATTCCTAAAGCACAGCCCAGTGAGGGCTTCCCTCATCACCCTGTGGATGCTGGGTAGTGATTCTTTGCCAGCCTGATCAATATCAGACCTTCTACTGGGGGTTATTGACAGGGCAGGCTACTATGCACCCCCTCCCTTGAAGGGTTGCCAGCTTTACCTCTGCAGGGTCTGCATCCTGGGCCCTCATCCTGCCAGGCCACTCACTGGAAGCAGCCCTTTTCTCAGAAGGAACAGGGTGTCCACAAGACACCTGCCTTCCAGGGTGGGGATTCCATGGGTAAAGTGGGGGCAGAGGGAGCCCTGCCCTTCAAACCACTGCACACACACCTGGGCAGGTGGAGCACATGACACGCCACCTGGAAGAGAGTGAGCGGGCCATGCAGGAAAGGATACAGAGACTAGAGGCTACTCGGCTGTCCCTAGAGGAGGTGAGCATACTCTGGGCTCTGCTTCCCTGTGCTTTAATCCTCAGGTGGGCAAGGGGTGGCAGGCAGCCCCACCTTGGGAACTACCCACCGTTGTCCCCAAGAGGCCAGAAGGATTTAAAGTGACATTCAGGCTCCCTTGTCCATGGAAACCCTGCCCAATGAGGGAGGTGGCAGTGACAGCTACATGGTTCTTAAGAGGCTGGGGGTGGGCAGCACTAGCCTGGCAGCTGGAGGGGGGCCTGTGACCTGGGCCAGAGGCAGGAGGATGGTGAGCAGGGGCTGTCTGCGGGACAGGAACTGAGCCAGGTCAAGGTGGCGGCACTCAGTGAGCGCAGCCAAGCCGAGGAGGAGCTCGCCAAGGCCAGGATCCAGGCCCACAAGGAGGAGGTGAGATTTGGCAGCTGCCCTGCATCACAAGGGAGACACACCCAAGGGTTTGATGTGAGCTGAGGAGGGGAAACAGGACTGGGATGCAGGGTAAGAAGAAAAGGTCAGAGCAGCCTATCTCCCCAGCAAGAGCCAGTAACACCAGGTCTCCACTTTGGATCCTGAGATAGGTGGAGTGGTTTGGCCCAGTGACTGCATGGGTGGAGGGGGCACCAGAAGAGGCCATGGAGCTGGCCTGAGAGGTGGGGAAGGGGAGCCCAGCAGGGGATGGTCAGCAGAGGCCTGCCAGTTGAGCAGGTTCAAGAGAAGTTGCCTAATTAACTTTCCCAAGCAGGGGTGGGATCTTGTTCCAGTACAATCTGTCTCGATGCAGGATGTCAGCTTGGGCATGGGCCCCTTTTGTCTCCACAGCAGCAGCACCTGGCTCACCTGGAGGACAAGTTACGGCTGCTGACCCTGGCTCGCGATGAGGCCCAGAGTGCCTGCCTGCAACAGCAGCAGAAGGTGGCAGAGGCCCAGGTCAGGGCCGGCCAGCTCAACCTGCAGGTGGAAGGCCTGCAGCGGCGCCTGGAGGAGCTACAGCAGGTATGGGGGCTGCCAGAGTCCCGGGTGCCAGCCCTGCCCGGCTCTCTCTCTCTCTCTCTCTCTCTCTCTCTCACTCACACACACACACCCTGCCCTGTAGGAGCTGAGCAACAAGGACCAGGAAAAGGTGGCAGAGGTGCACAAGGTGCGTCTGGAGCTGCAGGAGCAGAACGGCCGCCTTCAGGCCCAGCTGACAGCCCAGGAGGCACTGAGGGAGAAGATGGCAGCCCTGGAACGCCAGCTAAAAGGTGGGCCAGTCCCTGGCCCCCCGCGGTCCCTGGGCCCACCCCTGTCCCAACCCTCACCGCCTGCCTCAGAGTCGTCCTCATTGCCCTACTCTCCTCCAGCTATGGCACACGACCACCGGGAGGCGCTGCTGGACCGGGAGAGCGAGAACGCGTCTCTCCGGGAGAAGCTGCGGCTCCGGGAGGCCGAGATCGCCCGTATCCGCGATGAGGAAGCCCAGAGGGCGAACTTCCTGCAAAACGCGGTCCTGGCTTACGTTCAGGGGTCCCCGCTGAGGGCCCTGAGCCCCCCGAAGTGAGGGAGGCCGTAATCCCAGAACAGCAGCACTTGGGACGGCGCGCTGGGATGATCAGACGAGCTAGCCCCACAGTGTGGCCCCGAGGGCCTGAGCATCCCTGCGGCTCTCCACCTGAGTGCCCGCCTCTCCCCGAGGGCCGCGCCCGGGATGGACTCCTTCCAAAAGCAATCCCAGAGAATGACGTGCCTTAGAGAACTCAGTGGGGAGTAGACCCCGAGGAGCGCCTCCCCGCGTGTGCAAGCCTCACCTCTGCAATGTAACCGCCTTTGACCATGTAACCGCTGGCGCCGGGGTGCGCGCCGGAGTCCAGGAATACAGCGCGTTGCACTCGGTGGTACTCTCTGGCTCATGTCTCTCACTTAGCCTCCGCACTTACCCTCCCTAGCGGCAGGGGCCCTCACTGCTGCCTGGAGGCAACCGGCGACAGAGGAGGGCTGGGAGAGCCGCAAAGTCGGCCAGTCTTGGGCGTTCCAGTGACAGGAGACGCCCGGGCTGCCCCTGGCAGACTCCCACCCTAGCAGGCGGGCGTGTCTCTGTAGAAAACGCGACGTGCACAAAGCCCACCCTACGCGTGTCAGGTCCCAGACTCGCACTGCGCCGCAAGGAATCTCTAGGACTGCCCCGAGTGCGCTACTCGGGACCCGCTGGAGCTGAGGGCCCCCGCCCGCGCCCCGAAGGCTCGGCTGGGCTCGGCGGCCCCGCCCCACCACGCCCCCCGCGGCCGCGCTCGGCTGTATCCGCGCCCCGCACTCGGCGGTGCTCGGCTGTCTCCGGCCGCTCGCTCGGCGCTCGGGTCCGCGGCCGCTGCGGCGACCGGCATTTCTCCGCAGCTCGGCTCGCGGCCGCGCCCGCCGCCGCCCGGCCCCGCGCCCATGCAGGCCATCAAGTGCGTGGTGGTCGGCGACGGGTGAGTACACTGCACCGAGGTTGCTCGCGGGACTGGGGCGCGGGCGGCGCGGGGCACACTTAGCGACCCCCAGTCAGGGCCGTGTGTGCCCCGGGGAGGGGCGGGGTCCCGGCTTGCAACGATCCGTGGGCCTCCAGCCTGACCCCACCTGATGCTGCCGAGCCCCCGGAGTGGGTGCCGCGCTTAAGGCGGGGCCACCGCCCATTCTTCCCAGTGGGTGGGGCTAGGCCTCTCACCTGGGCTGAACCCTGAGCCGGCCCCACCGGCCCTGGGTATTGGAAACTCTGCCACCCCGCCCAGGGCTCTGACTGTGATGCTGGGGATCCCTGCGTCCATACCCACCTGCCCACCCCCGGAGCCTGGCCTGTCCTGGTCATCCTCCAGCCCTGGCACACTGCAGATCTGGGCTGGGATTCCCGTTCCCACCCCAGGAGCCCTAACTTGACCTATAGTTCCATGGGAGGAGGCTGCCCTTGCCCACAGAGGGGCAAGGCTGGGCCTGGAAGCCACGTGGGCTTGCCCCCTGTCCACAGAGCCGTGGGGAAGACATGCTTGCTGATCAGCTACACGACCAACGCCTTCCCAGGAGAGTACATCCCCACAGTGTGAGTGGGGGATGAGGGCGGCACAGGGCTGCTCACTGGAAAAGCCCAGGCAGGCTTGCATGGGGCACCCCTGGGTGGGCACAGGTGCATGAGGCATCCCTGATCTCCCAAGTCTGGCACAGGTGGGCCTGGGTCTGGGCTTCTGGGGTGGGGTTGGGGTGCTGGACAGTCTCAAGCACCTTGAGACAAGGTGAGCTGAGTGGGTGTGATCAAGGACCCCTCCCCAGTCTGACCTTTTGTGCTCTGCTCCTCAGTTTTGACAATTACTCTGCCAACGTGATGGTGGACGGGAAGCCAGTCAACCTGGGGCTGTGGGACACAGCTGGACAGGAGGACTATGACCGACTGCGGCCACTCTCCTATCCTCAAACTGTAAGTGACAACAGAGCCAGCCCCAGAGCTGAGTGGGTTTCTGAGGTCCAGATGGGGGAGGGCACAGCCGTGTGGAGCCCTGTGACACTCCCACTGGCTCCCTCCCTCCCAAGGACGTGTTTCTGATCTGCTTCTCCTTGGTGAGCCCAGCCTCCTTTGAGAATGTTCGTGCCAAGGTAAGACAGGGCTAGGGGCAACTTTGGGAGAGGGCTTGCCTGGAGGACCTGCCCCAGAGGATAGGGGGTACTGAAAGATCTTAGACAACTTTTCCTCTAGAGGCAATTGAGGTGCATGTTCAGTTTGGAAGCACATGGGTTGGGGCCCAAAGGTGGCCCTGGGAGGGTGAGGGGGTGGGTGTAGAGATGGGGCATAGGAGTCCAGCATCTCCGAGGACTGAGGAGCTTTCTAGCTGCTGGTGATAGGCTTGTCTGGGAGTCCCTGGTAAGTCTCAAGGCTTCCTGGCTATTTTGTTTCTAGTTGCTTCACCACTAAACACCAGACTCTTAGTAGAAGTAGGAAGAGCCCAGTGTGGCTCCAGGGGCAGCAAGGAAGCCCTTGGGAGCTGTGGCCACTCTGGCCTGGGCTGGGGAAACAGACCCCAAGATGTAGGGGATCAGAGCCTCTGTCCCCACAGTGGTACCCAGAAGTGCGGCACCACTGCCCCCACACACCCATCCTCCTGGTGGGAACCAAGCTGGACCTCCGTGATGACAAGGACACCATCGAGAGGCTGCGAGACAAGAAGCTAGCACCCATCACCTACCCACAGGGCCTGGCCATGGCTCGAGAGATTGGTGGGTGGGCCCTGCCAGGCACCCTCCAGGGAGGGTGGAGAGGCATGCTGGGGGACCCTGCATCTGCCTGTGCTCCCCCCACCCTGTGCTGCCCCCTCACTACCATCCCACTCTGCCTAGGGTCTGTCAAGTACCTGGAATGCTCAGCCCTGACCCAGCGAGGCCTGAAGACAGTGTTTGATGAGGCTATCCGGGCTGTGCTCTGCCCACCCCCAGTGAAGAAGCCTGGGAAGAAGTGCACAGTCTTCTAGAGCCCCTGCCCAACCAGGGCCCAGGAGCTAGCAGAGGAGCAACCCTGGACCCATCTGCTGTTGTGTTGAGATGTCTGGTGTCCCTGAGTCTGCTTTGAGGGAGGGGTGTTGGGGGGGAGGGGAAGAAGCATGAGGTTAAGGCTGGGGCCACAGGGCCCTGACCCCTCTGCCTCCTCTTTCTGGGGTGTGGCTCCAGCCTTCCCTGGCCCCCACAGGAGGCCAAGAGGGAGCAGGGTCTCCCTCAGGGCTGCAGGGGCAGGTCCAGGGTGGCCCCAGGATGGGCTTCCCTGCCAGGGAGGGTGGGGGTGGGTTCTGTCCATTGTGCCCTGGGAGGGATGGTCCCTTCTTGTTTTATACAATAAACACCCTGCAGTGATACCTCCTGCCTCTCACTACCTGCCCTTCCACCCTGCCACGGTTTGTCCCTAACAACCCCCAGTCATGGTGCAGAGGGGGTTTATGGCACCAACAGCAACACCTTAGAGTTTGAGTTCCCCAAGGGGAGCTCTGAGCATGTCCCACACCTTGGGTAGGAAGAGCCTGCTGTGCTGCCTCAGCCCCCCAAAGAGATGTCCAGACCTCAGCAGAGAACAAGCAGACCTGCCCTCACAGACTTGGGGCCTGTGAGAGGGGGCACACCCAGGAGGGATGGGCTCTCAAGAAGCTCCTCCTTCAGGAGGCAGAGGTGCATAGATTGGCTGAGCTCAGGTTCGAGACCAGCCTGATCCAGAGCAAGATCCCATCTCTAAAAAAAAAAATAGCCGAGTGTTGTGGCAGGTGCCTATAGTCCCAGCTACTTGGGAGGCTGAAACAAGGGGATCACTTGAACCCAAGAGTTTGAGGTTATTGTGAGTTAAGATGCCACAGCACTCTACCAAGGGTGACCAAGTAAAGCTCTGTCTCAAAGAAAAAAGGAAGCTCCTCTTCAGATGGGCACAGTCTGCAAAGAAGCTGGAGTCAGGTGAGGCTGTCCCATAGTCCCCTATGCCTCGGGCCTGTATTAGGAGGAAGGGCACCCAGGGTGGACAAAGGTTTGGAGGTTGTAATGTGGTGTGGAGAGAGAAGGGAGAAAGCTGGGCAGGCCCTCTGGTGATGCTGATGTCAGAAACAGAGGGCCCTAAGCTGCAGGCCATGGCCTTGTACTTCACCCCAGAAGGCCACAGGGCATTGTTCAAAGCAAACACATGGTCAGAAGGTACCATGTGGGGCCACCCTGGCCTGCCTCCGCACACCTCCCCGTTGTGTGGGAAGGTGGCTTATACTGGTTAAATGGTTAAAAGCCCAGGAATTTGGCCAGGCGGGGTGGCTCAAGCCTGTAATCCCAGCACTGTGGGAGGCTAAGGAGGGAGAATTGCTTGAGCTCAGGAGTTTGAGACTTAACCTGAGTGAGAGTGAGACCACAACTCATAACAAAATGAAAAACCCAGCCAGATGCCATGGTGAGCATCTGTAATCCCAGTGGCTTCTGGAGGCTGAGGCAGCAGGATGCCTACAGCCAGAGTCTGAGGTTACAGTGAGCTATGACACTATTACACTCTGCTCAGGGCAGAAGGTGGGACTCCGTCTCAACCAAAAAAAAAAAGCAAAGAAATAAAAATAAAAAATTAGCAAGGAAATTTAAAAAAAAAAAAATAGGAATTGGCTCAGCACCTGTAGCTCAAGCAGCTAAGGCGCCAGCCACGTACACCAGAGCTGGGGCGTTCAAATCCAGCCTGGGCCTGCCAAACAACAATGACACTGCAACCAAAAAATAGCCAGGTTTTGTGGAGAGCACCTGTAGTCCCAGCTACTTGGGAGGCTGAGGCAAGAGACTTGCTTAAGCCCAAGAGTTCAAGGTTGCTGTGAGCTGTGATGCCACGGCACTCTACCCAGGGCGACAGCTTGAAGCTCTGTCTCAAAAAAAATTTTTTTGGCTAGCCAGTTGTATTAAAAACAAAGGTAACAAATACTCAAAACTTCACTTTCTAATTACTTTTGTACATGCTATTACTATGTGCTGTATACGTTTTGGGGTTTTTTTGTTTTTTTGTTTTGCTTTGTTTTGTTTCTTGGGACAGAGTCTCAAGCTGTCACTGTGGGTAGAGTGCAGTGGTGTCCCAGCTCACGGCAACCTTAAACTCAGGCTTAAGCAATTTGCTTGCTTCATCCTCCCAAGTAGCTGGGACTACAGGTACCAGCCACAACACCCAGCTATTTTCTGGTTGCAGTTGGGTTTTTTTGTTTTTTAAGACAGAGCCTCAAGCTATCCCCCTGGGTAGAGTGTCATGACATCACAGCTCACAGCAACCTCCAACTCCTGGACTCAAGCGAGTCTCCTGCCTCCGCCTCCCAAGTAGCTGGGACCACAGGCACCCACCACAATGCCTGGCTATTTTTTGGTTGCAGCCGTCATTGTTGTTTGGCGGGCCCAGGCTGGATTCAAACCCACCACCTTAGGTGTATGTGGCTGGTGCCTTAGCCACTTGAGCCACAGGTGCCGGCCATGATTGCAATGGTTGTTTTAGCTGGCCCAGGCTGGGTTGGAACCTGCCAGCCAGGATTATGTGGCTGGTGCCCTATCCACTGAGCTATGGGCACCACCTGAGACAGAGTCTTACTTTTGTGGTCCTGGGTAGAGTGCCATGGTGTCATCATAGCTCACAGTAGCCTCAAACTCTTGGGCTCAAGCAATCTTCCTGCCTCAGTCTCCCAAGTAGCAAAGATTATAGACACCCACCAGAATGCCTGACTAGTTTTATTTTTAGTAGAGACAGGGTCTTGCTCTTACTCAGGCTGGTCTGGAACTCCTGAGCTCAAGGGATCCACCTGCCTTGGCCTCGCAGAGTGCTGGGATTACGGGTGTGAGCCATCTTGCCTGGCTCTGTATGCCTTTGGGTTATTTACATGTACTAAACTTGTCAAGTACAGATTCCACATCGTGGATGCAACTGTTCATCCCTTCTCAACTCTGCATTCAATGACATCAAATCAATTGTTTGGAATCAGCTCTAGTGCCAACATTTATACCAAGGAACTGGCAAATTCCACAAATAGGGCTTGATTTACTGTTAATCATGTAGACTTAAGGCAATAAGAAGTAGGGCTTTGGGCGGTGCCTGTGGCTCAAAAGGTTAGGGCGCTGGTCCCAAATGCCAGAGGCGGTGGGTTCAAACCCAGCTCCAGCCAAAAACTGCAAAAAAAAAAAAAAAAAAAAATAAGTAGGGCTTGGTGAATTGTGCCTGTTGTCCCAACCTACTCAGGAGACTGAGGTGGAAGGATCACTGGAGTCTAGGAGTCTTGAGACTAGCTGGCCACACAGCAAAACCTTGTTTCTAAGAATTTTTTTTTTTTGCAGTTTTTGGCTGGGGCTAGGCTTGAACCTGCCACCTCGGGCATATGGGGCCGGCGCCCTACTCCTTTGAGCCACAGGCGCCGCCCTCTAAGAAAATTTTTAAGAATGAGCCAGACATGATGTGCACCTGTAGTCCTAGCTACTCGGGAGGCTGAGGTGAGAGGATCGATTGAGCCCAGGAGTCTGAAACTACAGTGAACTAAGATTGTGACATGGCAATCCAGCCCGCAAAAAAAAAGTGAGCATAAATAAAGAGAGAAAAATGCAGATTAAACTTACATGTGCTGTGTACATACTCATCACATTGTGAATAACATAGTTGAGGAAATGTTCTTCCAGGACTGGAAAGCTTATTATCTAATGCAACCAAGAAGCGGCTCCAGTCACTGATAAAGTACTGAAGTTGGACATGCAGCTTCCAAGTTTCCCTTTGTGCCACTTAACTTCAAGAAATGCCACCTACTCTGGAAGGCCGAGGCAGGTAGATTGGGTTCAAGACTAACCTGAGCAAGAGGACACCCCATCTCTAAAATCAGCCCGGCGTTGTGATGGGCACCTGTAGTCCCAGCTACTTGGGAGGTTAAGGCAAGAGAATTTCTTCTTTTTTTTTTTTTTTCTGAGACAGAGCCTCAAGCTGTCCCCCTGGGTAGAGTGCCGTGGCATCACACTCACAGCAACCTCCAACTCCTGGGCTCCAGCGAGTCTCCTGCCTCCGCCTCCCAAGCAGCTGGGACCACAGGCGCCGGCCACAACGCCCGGCTATTTTTTGGTTGCAGCCGTCATTGTTGTTTGGCGGGTCCGGGCTGGGGATTCGAACCCGCCACCTCAGGTGTACGTGGCTGGCGCCTTAGCAGGTTGAGCTATAGGCGCCGAGCTGGCAAGAGAATTTCTTGAGCCCAAGAGTTTGAGGTTGCTGTGAGCTGTGATGCCACGCACTCTACTGAGGGTGACAAAAATGAGACTCTGTCTTTAAAAAAAAAAAAAAAAGCCACCTAATCTAGATGTGAGTATTATACTCACAGGAGTAGTTGTTGCACTGTTTCTATACCGGAGGTCTGGACAGCACTAGAGGCCATCTTTGGTCAAATTCACCACCCTCTTGAGGAGCCCACCTAATGAGGATTCTATCTACAGCCACTGCCAGGGTGTTGGCCAGGCCTGAGAGTCTCAGGTGTGGGAGCCAAACTATCACCTGGCTTGGAATGAGAATACAAGGGATTTTGGCCTACCTGGGCCCTTCCCACACCCAGCCCTGACTCTCTCCAGCTGCCTGCTACAGTCTAGAAACCAGCACATAGGCTGAGCAGGAGAATCCAGTTTATTAGGAAAGAAGGGGCTCAGCATGGGGCCGAGGTGTGTGTAGAAAGGGGCTCAGGTGGCCAGGAAGCCCCCATCTACTGGCACAGTGGCACCTGTGGTCATGTTGCTGCGGTCACTCAGCAGGAAGAGGATGGTATCCACCACGTTCTCCACCTCTGTGGGCAGGGTGTTCAGGGGCTCAGTTGAAGGAGGCTGTCCTCCATCTTTCCTTCACATTCCTGGAACCCCAGGCATGACTCCCAGCTGGGCTTCCACTTGACTTACCAGCAAACCTGCCCAGTGGGATACGGTCCAGCATGGCCTTGGCCTTGTGGGGGTCACTCCAGTTGGCCTGGCCCATGGGTGTCATCACCACTGTGGGGTTCACTGCATTCACACGGATCTACACCGGGAAAGGTAGAGGGCAAAGGCAAACAGGGCTCCCTGGATGTGTGCTGGGGTGGTGGGATGCCCTCTAGCCTGGCTTACCTTGTGGGGCCCGAGCTCTAGGGCCATCACCTTGGTCAGCATGTCCAGGGCACCCTTGGTGGAACCTGTGAGGAGGAAGCCCAAGCTGCCTGGAAGGTGGGAGCTGAGGGCAGGGTGGGGCCTGGGGCACAGCTGGGGCTCACTCACAGTAGACACTGTGGTTAGTTACTGCTCGCTGGGAGGCCTGGCTGGAGACGTTCACAATGGCCCCTGCTGCTCCCCGGGCTATCAAGCCCCTGGCTATGATCTGGAATTGCAAAGGGTAGGGTAGGCAGAGCTAGCACCACCCACCAGAGTCCCTTGCCGGGAACCTGGCAGCTTACCTGGGACACCTGCATGACAGCTCGAAGGTTCACATCAAAGGACCTAGAAAAAGAATAGACAGACCCCAGTTGGAGACTGGGCCTGCTGCAGGGGACAGCCCCTTCCCTGGGATTCCTCTCCCCAACTGGCTCACGTGTCAAAAGCCTCCTTGGTGACCTCCAAGAAGGGCTGAAGCAGGGCCATGCCAGCATTGTTTACCAGAAAGTCCACTGGGCCCACACTGCTGAGCACCTTCTCCGTGGCCTCCCAGTTACCCAGGTCCACACACACGGGCTCTATCCCTGGGCACTGTGTGTACAAGGAGAATCACAACAGGGCCTCTGCCACTTGAGGGAGGGGCGTTCGGGCCAGGTCACTTTTCAGCGGGCATCCTATGGGCCCGGCTGCACAGTGAGCAAACCCAGGGCTGTGTGACCAGAACACTGGCCCCACCTCCAGCCAGTTCACTTCCTCCCTGCATGAAAGCACCTCTGATCCGATCCTGCTCAGCAGCCATTTCAGTCTCTTTCCAAGCCCGGGGGTCAAGCTGCTCTGCCCGCCACACAGGCCGCACGCCCTGGAAAGGTGCTGAGGGTGCTCCACAGCCCCAGCGCCAGGAGACCGGCGCAGCACTTTCGCAGGGAACCAGGCTGGGCGCGTGGCGGGTCCCCGGCCCACCCCACTCTGCGGCCACCTCGCAGAGCTGGGAGCAGAGCTGGTACTGGCAGCTCTTACCTCACGGACAAGGCTGTCCAGGTCGGCCTGTGTCCGGCTCACGGCCACCACCCGCGCGCCCGCCGCGTGAAGCGCCTGGACCGTGCTGCGCCCGATGCCTGTGGGGATCGCGGCTCAATGCGAGCGTCCCCCGGCCGGCCCACCCCTGCCCGCCGACCTACCGCGGCCCGCTGGCCCACCTTTGCCCGCCCCTGTGACCAGCGCCCGACGGCCCGCAAGCCCCAGCTCCATGTCTGTGCTGTCTCCGCCCCGTGCGCCGAGGCCCGGGGACTTTGAGCTCTGTTGGTTGGGGCGGGACGCGACGGGGCCAATCGCGAGCCCCCTCTGGCCCGGGGGCGGGAACATTCAAATAAAGACTCCTTTGCGGGAGTGATTGGTCTCAAGGCGCGGGAGGGGCGGGGCCCCAGCTGCCTCCGGACCCCGGTCTTTCCAGATGTCCTGCGGCCTCCCACGGCAAAGGCAGTTTAGGCCGTCCTGGCCAGCACTTTTTCCCTGCCAGGAAGATTATTACAAAACACAGACGTAGGACGGCGCCTGTGGCTCAGTGAATAGGGCACTGGCCCCATATACCGAGGGTGGCGGATTCGAACCTGGCCCCCGGCCAAACTGCAACCAAAAAATAGCCAGGTGTTGTGGTGGACACCTGTAGTCCCAGCTACTCGGGAGGCTGAAGCAAGAGAATCACCTAAGCCCAAGAGCTGGAGGTTGCTGTGAGCTGTGACTCTACAGCACTCTGCTGAGGGCGACAAAGTGACACTTTAAGAAAAGAAAAGAAATGCTAGGGAACCTGAAGAAAACATGGATGTCAGCAAAGCTCCGCATCAGGCTAAAAAAAGAGTTGAACTCCAAGGTCACCTGGACAGCGCATTGGCTTTGCACAGGGTTAGAAATGTTTGGGATATAGACCACACCGCCCTGAAAGCGCAGATCCCGCGGATCTAAACTATGCAGGGTAGGACCCGGTTAGTATAGGGACCACCTACTATACACTAGGCTGTAGGGTTATTAATAAAATGAAACCAACTTTAAATTGAAAAAAATAGTTTGAGGCTAAGTGCCATGCCTCACACCTGTAATCAGGAAGATCACCCAGGGGTTTGAGAGCACTCTGACAGAAGACCTGGCTCTACTAAAAGTAGAAACAGTAATCCTAGCATTCTGGGAGGCCAAGGCAGGTGGATTGCCTGAGCTCATGAGTTTGAGGGCAGCCTGAGCAAAAAAAGTGAGGACCTCCCCCATCTCTACTAAAAACAGAAAAATTAAGGCAAGAGGATCATTTGAGCCCAAGAGTTGGAGGTTGCTGTGAGCTATGATGTCACTGCACTCTACCCAGGGCAACAGCTTGAGACTCTGTCTCAAAAAAAAAAAAAAAAAAAAAGGCTCAGCAGCTAAGGCACCAGCCACATACACTTGAGTTCACGGGTTTGAATCCAGCCCAGGCCTGCCAAACAACGAAATCTACAACCAAAAAATGGTCAGGCATTGCAGCAGGCACCTGTAGTCCCAGCTACTTGGGAGGCTGAGGCAAGAGAATCACTTGAGCCCAGGAGTTGGAGGTTGCTGTAAGCTGTAATGCCACGGGACTCTACCCAGGGCAAAAGCTTGAGGCTCTGTCTCAATAAATAAATAATAGAAAAATCTAGCTGGTTGTGGTGGCAGGTGCCTTAGGCTCAGCTACATGGGAAGCTGAGGCAGGAGGATTGCTTGAGCTCACGAGTTTGAGGCTGCTGTGAGCTAGGTTGATGCCATAACACTCTAGCCCAGGCAACAGAGAAAAACTCTTGTCTCAAAAAATAATAATAATGAATAAAATAATAAAAATAACTTGAATAGGATAGGAAGAGGATTTGGAATCTTCAAAGTACATGGCACCCAGCAAAAGCAAGCGTTGCTTCCTGATGCTTTAGGGTAAGTTACAGATGTATAGGTGTGCACTGAGTACCCTAGAACTCCGTGTGAAAGCTATTTTGTAGATTATGGTGGGAATGTCTAGAACCACTGCATTGAGGACCTTCTGTGGCCAGTAGTAGGAAATGGGTGATGATTACAGGGTCTCTGGGTCACAACAGGCTTTGGACTTACAGAAATGGACAGATTGGAGACAAGGGGTGACCAGGCACAGCAAGGGGGTACAGATTTGAGGAGCCCCTGGTGGACAGCCAAGTGCCTTCTCACCTCCCTACCCTGTGGCCAGCCCACTACCCCTGGCCACTCTCTAGACCCTTCCTTCTGCTCCTAACCTAGGACCCTGCTCTTGGTCTGCCAGAAACCAAGGGAGGGACAGCCTCCAACCAGTCCTTCCTGCAGTCACATCTGCTTAGATCCCTTATAGTACAAATCCCCTCACTTGTCCTGTATCCTTGGCCTCCTTTGTGACCTCCAGGAAGGCCTGCAGCAGGCCACACTGGCATTGTTCACCAGGCAGTCACCTGGGTCCACCCACATGGTCTCTATCCTTGGGTTCCCTGGAGGTCCTACTGGCCGGTCATAAGAGCCCTCAGCATCCTGCACTCCAACTCTGAGCCCTGGTGCCCTCCCAACCATTGCCTGAGGGCTGACCCTCCCTGCTGGTCCTCTGCCCCCTTGCTCAGGGTTGGACCCTGTGCATCTGCAGCTCGCTGGCCTGGGACTTTCCCAGATAGCACCCAGCAAGGCTCGTGAGACCCTCTGGCCAGTCCTGGGATGTAGGGGTATTGAGATTCAGGTCGGGGGCAGCCCACAAAGAGGGGCTGCCAGCCCCACCCCCAGCTTGGGTCTTGAGGGCAGAAGTCCCTCTAGAGGTGGAGCTAGATTCCCTGGGAGAGGACAAATGAGATTTGGTGCAACACCTAGACCCTCCCTCTCCAGGCCCCACCTTCCCTAGGGTGGCCTAGGTTCAGCACCTCCCAGAGCCTCTGCAAGAGAGGTGGATGCAGGCTGCCCTCTGCCCTCTATCCGCCCCCCTGCCAGGGTTGGTTGGGTGTTGTGAGTTGGGGAGTGGATAATAGGAATCACCTTGCAAAAGAACTGCTGCCCTTTGGTCACCAGGCAAGGTCAGAGATGAGACTGGTCTGGCTTCAGGATCTGCCCTCTCACATGTCACGGAATCGGAAAGCTGTACCCATCCACTCCCTGCTTCCCCAGCCTCGCGGGCTGCGCTGGCTCAGAGACAAGGGCTTCCATTTAGTGAGGCCAATCCACCTCCTCAGCATAGCAGGGCACGGCGAATGGGGCGGCAGGGCGAGTCTCAGGCAACAGCTAGTGTGGACGCCGGAGTGGCTGGATGGGAAACGGGCCGCTGTGGAGGGCGTGGGGTAGATGCGGGGTGGGACTGCCGTGGGCAGGCAGGGTCGCGAAAGGGGCCCTGGTTGGAAGCTGAGAGGCGCGGGGCAGTGGGGCCGGAGGCTGCGGAACTGGAGGGCAGGGGCGGGTTGTGCAGCGAGGAGGGCTGGGAGACACGGTCCTGAAGTTGAGGGGTGGAACCAGGCAGAGTCCTGAACGTGGGGAGGGCCTGGGCCCCGGCAAGAGACAGTGCACGGCGAGGGTTGGGAGGTGAAGGGTCGGAATGGGGCGTGGCTGTGGCCCCGGCTCGGCCACAGGCGGGGTCAGGCGGGGTTGGGGCGTGGGGGCCGGGCCACTAGCACCGCCCTGCTCCAGGAGGGCGGGGATCCGGCTTCCACGAAGATCACAGAGCCTCGGGTGGGGTCGCTGCAGTCTGAGCCGGACGAAGGTGCTGTTGACTAGGCCTTCCACCTCTGCGAGGGCGGCAGTTCAGTTAGTGCGGCTGGGATCGGCCGCCGAGGCCTGCGGCTCACCACAGCCCCCTAACCTGCAAACTTCCTGAGCGGATGGAGTTCCTTCAGCTTTGGAAGAGTTCCCGGTCGGACCAGACGTTTTGGACGCTGCCGATCAACACCACTATGGGATCCACTGAGCTCACCCGGGTCTGCGGCCAGAGTTAGTGGCCTCAGCCGCTGAACCAGCCCCTGACCCTTCTGGCCCAGAGCCTGTGTGGTCCCTATGCCCCCATTCTCATCCAATCCCCAGCCCTGCCCCTGCAGCAACCCTAGGCCTGGTCCCCAGCTTCCAACCCCCAAGCCCACCTTGTGTGGCCCCAGCTCCAAGGCCCTGGCCACTCAGCATCTCAGCATGGTTATTGTGCCCTTGGTGGAGTC